GTGTTCTTGGCTCGTATGGTCCTAAGTTCTCTGACGTCATAAACTGTCTAATAAGCGTAGATTTTCCGACCCCGTCAGACCCGAGAACCATGACCCGGAAGAAAGATGGAGCTGATGATGCTCCACTGTCCATCGATGTCATACTGGTTGCTCGTGACGGTTTTTTGTCAGTTTCATGTAGATTTATGAAACTGCCACCAGACTTTAAACTGTTTGTGCTTTTACTTTTGAATTTGTCTCCAACGTTTAAGACCCCTTTGGATGTCTTCTTGAACGATCGGACTCTGCAGAGTCCTCCCCCTTGATGTGCACTGTTGCTGTCGTCGTAGGCATTTTCGGTCCTGATGTCGTTGTCAGAATCCGCAACAGATAGATATATTTGTGGCACGCTGTCCGATCTAGGCCTGGAGTCGATCTTAAGGCTCAGTTTGGGTCTGGGGCGATTTCTGAAAGAAGACGACCGGGAATGGGTGTTAGTCGTGGTACCACTCTGGGGTACCACGCTCAGATACTGGTCACTCATATCCCAGTGTTCACTATATGAGATATAAGTAACAGTTACAAACACAAGCCCTTGCAAGTTTCACTGAGGGAAAACACTTCGATCTGTTACCATCCTCTATTGAACTCGGTCACGAACATTCGCAATTAACAACACGAACTACACAAACTGTTGCTGTGAGTCGTCAACATACTTCCACGACCGTGTACCAACATTGAATCGGACAAATCACATGACCTACAACAATTCCTCCAATAAGAAGCCAGTATTTCCTTCACTGCAGTTTCTGCGTCATGGCCGGATCTCCGAGAACGACATAGCCAAATTCTTTGCATCAGCCATAGAAATTCGATCCTGTAGCACTCAGCTATCTTTGGCAAGGCAGCACCCTCTTCCGAGCAAACACACGGAGCTATAAGCCAGCGATACACAGGTGTAACCCAACTTCCACGCTATGGCGCCTAACACAAGCGCATGGAGATAATTCCTTGCAAGAGGAGCTTTTCTTAACGCTGGGACGGGTCCACTTACAAGAGGGACTTCAGAAAACACGGTTGATGTCTGATCAGTTTCTGAGAACCCAATTAAGAAGATTTGTAAACCTTTCGTTCTTCCGTATGGTTTCATAGTAATGTGTCATAATCTCCACCTGTTTTCTGCGGGAGATTCATTAGAGCATCAGCTGATCTCTGTGTGTAACCTTTGGTAGAAATAGGCCTGGCGTCAGGAATTAGTACGACGTGCATGCATCCTCCACTGAAGACTCGTTAACGGGCTAATACCATAACACAAAGGGTTCTCTCACGGGACATAAATAATGTACTGACGACAATCGATATATTGATTCTCTCCCCAGATGACCTTCAACATGTACATGTACACATATAAAATACTTATATTTGTCCGAGTGTTTATGGGAGCATATTTGTATACATATATACTGTTATATATTTTTAGGCAACTTGTTTACTACTGCGTGTATTGTGCCTTGTTTACTCTTTTCCACATGTCGCTTACACAATGTCCTAGTATTGCTAACTATGTAAGGAATACACGGTGGTGCGTTGATGTATAGCGTGTGGGATATTTCACATACAACAGTGCTCATTTTTAAATGCTATACATGTATACAGTGTATTGTTATACAGTATATGGGATCTGTCACCTAGTATACGTGTTTGATACTGTAACATCGGGAGATGTTCGCTGTTAACGTGGAGTACATGGGCTATCTAGCGTACTATTGATTTATTAATGTTATAAAACTATGTATATAGAGTATGCAGTGCTTTCAGTACTTTTGTAAATATTCTACTATTATTTTACCGACATTTAGACGATATAATACAAGGCATATTTTATACAGAGTATATTTATACATATTTAGTATATGCAAAGAGATATACGGTATACACATGAGTGTGTGTGTGTATGTGTATGTGTGTGGCGTGTGTGTGGCGTGTGTGTGTGTGTGTGTGTGTGTGTGTGTGTGTGTGTGTGTGTGTGTGTGTGTGTGTGTGTGTGTGTGTGTGTGTGTGTGTGTGTGTGTGTGTTGTCTAACACCGCGCCAAGCAATATATTGGCGACCTGTAAAAAGTCCAGTCTAGACCAGACAATCCAGGGGTTGATATTATGAGCAGCGACATCCACGCCCTCAGGGCACGTTGTTACGCCATCAGCCAAGGCACCGATCATTACTACCCGATCCATTGAGTCGCCTCTTTCTACCAGCTTGGTTGCTAGGGACCAGATCTGACCCGGAATATCCACGCTTTATGTAGGTTTCGGAACGTCGAATATAATAAAGTCCGTTGACACATGTACAATGTGTAAAGAAGCCATTTGTTTCTTGTGAAATAACATCGAGTATCAAATGTCAACATTTTCAGGTCGCGAGATGAAATATACTTGTATGCTTACTTTGTAGAATATTTGTATAATTTACATTGAATACATTTACACATGTAATTTTTGTTAATTTCATTCATTTATTCTGAATATTTTACACAGTGATCATTTCTTTCTTTTTATGAAATTGAATATGTAGCACATTATTACTTGTTAATGTGACACATGTGTAAACCATAGACATGTGATAATTCAAAGTAGGGGTTATTCAACACAATTTTCACTTGTTTACATGTATATACAACGTAAGGAAAATGTCTCGCAATATACACGTGGTAATACAAAATAGGGGTTATTCAACACACTTTTCACTTGTTTACATGTTTATACAACGTAAGGAAAATGTCGCGTAATATACACGTGGTAATACAAAATAGGGGTTATTCAACACAATTTTCACTTGTTTACATGTATATACAACGTAAGGAAAATGTCTCGCAATATACACATGGTAATACAAAATAGGGGTTATTCAACACACTTTTCACTTGTTTACATTATATACAACGTAAGGAAAATGTCACGACGTATACACGTGGTAATATAAATTAGGGGTTATTCAACACAGTTTTCACTTGTTTATATAGATGATGTATGGTAATGAAAATCAGAGGAGATTTACATGGAGAAAGCGTGCTGGTAGATAGGGCGGTACATCGTATTTTACGTAGAACAGTAAGGAAATAACATTAGCGTTTCTTGTTAAATGACACTGTAAACGCTGCGCCACTCAGGAGAATGTTACTTTTTGTCAGGTCACATTGTGATATATATAATCATTTCGTTGTAGTGAGTAGGTGTTACTTAGGTGTTGGTGTAATATGTGTAGTGTATATTTAATCACTATAACGAAATGTTACGCGCACACACACAGACACGTATACGTACGTGTTGTGCATGTGTAGGATAGGACTTGTGGCGCATATTCTCTATAACGAATAAATAGCGTATATGATATTAGTAACGAACGAAATTAAACCTCTGCCAGGTTTATTTAGCACGTGGAAAGGAGGTATTGGAACATTGTAGGCACACACATGTTATGTCAGAGAGAAGCAAAACATTCTCCATGGTAATGATGTAATTAGAATTACATACCATCGGTACATGCCAAGTTCTTGCGCAACTTTATGCAAGTATTGTAATTACCACAGAGGAAATGATGCCAAACACTGAACATCTGATATGATCGTTGCAGTTACATAAATCAAACCAAAGAAAGAGACACACCTCCCAATATAATTGTTATTTAATAAGACCAAGACTCAAGGATACTTCTCATCTAACGTACAGTCATTCCACGATTCAGTGTGAGTGAGTGAGTGAGTGAGTGAGTGAGTGAGTGAGTGAGTGAGTGAGTGAGTGGGTGGGTGGGTGGGTGGGTGGGTGAGTGAATGACCCCAATCGTTAAATACCTGTAACGGAGTTATTTAAGATTTGCCATTATAAAGTTATCATATTTAAAATATATTTACAAAATAAAATACAAAATTCAAATGGGGCCATAAACAATCTAAATTTGCAAAACCATTCTGGACTTAAGTAGGTTTCTTTTTTTAATCTCTTTTCGAGGGTCTGGGACACAGAGTATGTTTGTGGCAGTGATAACCCACCTTTGATCTCAAGTTTATAGATAAGTGTATGTTATAAACTTAGGGGCAATCCAAGTGAAAAGAACGGTCGACAGTGTTATGGCTGAGAATCAATTTTTCAAATTAATAGGGAAGGCCTCCCAAGTCGGAGTGGCTATGGAGAAACAGATTTGTTGGAACACTTGAGACCTTTAGCAGCCCGATCTTTTGTTCACACAATCTGTTTAGTTTTGATTATAGTGCGAAAAAAGCCCCGTCGCCACTTAAAATTGTTCGCCTGGACGCAATTTGCTGAATCTGTTGTGATAGCAGCGTTGCTTTTTGCTTTGTTTTTAATCAAAGTGTATCTGGAGTGTGTTTGCTGGATATTTTAGTCCATGATTAAGTCGGCGGGGGCGTGTGCACATGTTGAGAGCACGTGTGATGCTGCATGCTGGTCGCTCCTGCATATCTGGCATATCAGTGGGAGAGATCTACTACACCGTAAGGTACAATTATATATTGAATATCAACTGTGACTACTGCTAGAACGTCCAACAACCCACTGCCATTGATGCTCCGCGGCACGCCCAGATATATTGTCTGAATACGTGGCGTGAGAGACGTGAGTGAGATCATACAGCGCATTTTGCATGCTGTTTCAGAATACAATGGTGACATGCACGACGAACGAATAAACACCTCTTTTTACCTGTCCTTGTATTCCCTTAAAATAATGATGTTACCCAATGTTCAAGCAGTCATACTTTCCCCTTTCCCTATAATAATGATGAAATACGCAAATGTACTTGAAGTCATAATTTCCCCTTTCCCTATAATAATGATGAAATGCCAAAATGTACGTGCAGTCATACTTTCCCCTTTCCCTATAATAATGATGAAATGCCCAAATGTACATGCAGTCATACTTTCCCCTTTCCCTATCATTATGATGAAATACCCAAATGTACATGCAGTCATACTTCCTCCTTTCCCTATAATAATATTTAAATACCCTAATGTACGTGCAGTCATACTTTCCCCTTTCCCTTTAATAATAGTTTAATACCCTAATGTACATGCAGTCACCCTTTCCCCTTTCCTTATAATGATGATGAAATACCCAATGTTCATGACGTACTTGCAGTCATACTTTCCCCTTTCCCTGTAATAATATTTAAATACCCTAATGTACATGCAGTCACATTTTCCCCTTTCCTTATAATGATGATGAAATACCCAATATTCATGACGTACTTGCAGTCATACTTTCCCCTTTCCCTATAATAATGATGAAATACCCAATGTTCAAGAAATCATACATTCCTTATAATAATGATGAAATACCCAATATTCATGACGTACATGCCGTCATACTTTCCCTTTTCCCCATTTTTCCCAAAGTACGAACAGTCAACTGCATTGGATATGCTAGATCTGTTGATTCTGCTTCTGAATGCAAAATACTTATTCCAGCATATTACATGTATGGGAATGTATGGAAGTTTGTAAGTTACAAAAATATATGTCACATATATACATAAAACGTAATCATTCAGCCGATAGTCAGTAGAACATGATATTTAAAGAAAAAGAACTCAAAGAGACAGTATAAATTTAATGGAAAATGTGGATACAAATAGGCTTACTCTTCAAATTCCGTCACTATTTTGGAAAGATGAACATACTTTGTTTTCAAAGGAGAATGATAATGATATTTAAGGGTTTGTTAAAATTCACGAGTCATATAATTTTATTCTAAGCTATCATTGTCGAATGATGTGTTTTGAACTATAAACAACAAAGGTGAAATTCATTTAGGGCATAATTTTTCAGAGCGAAACGTAAATATGACGTCATCATTGTTAGCGCGTTACGTCATCGCGTGTCATATTTATATGACGTCATTAGTCATCAAAGGTAATGTTACACAGCAGTAGAAACAAAATTGTGTTCTCTTGTTACACGTGAAATGGTCGCTGCATGATATTTGTGTGTTTACACGTAACAGGTATGGTACACATTAACATTTTTAAGGACGGTGGGGTAGCCTAGTGGTTAAAGAGTTCGCTCGTCACGCCGAAGACCCAGGTTCAATTCTCCACCTGGGCACAATGTGTGAAGTCCATTTCTGGTGTCCCCCGCCGCAATATTACTGGAATATTGCTAAAAGCGGTGTAAAACCATACCCACAGACTCAATAATATTTTCAAATCATAAAACTTGTCGTGTTCGTGAGTGGGATCACTTCGGTGGTA